CTTCCGATCATCCTCTTCGAGTGCGTCTCATTAAAATAACAAAAACCAAAGAACTCGATCCGATAAAGCTCGATCGCGGGGGATCGATTTATCGGGAAGGCAAGCACGTGTCGAACGTGGTCGTTATCGTTCCCGTTCGTTTCGTTGCCAAAAATCGCATACGGATTAAACGTATCGACTCTCGAGGGTGATGATTGGTTAACAGGTACGTCGCGTTCTCTCACCCTCTCTTCCACTCTGTCTTGCTTTCTCTCTCCCTCTTTTTCTCTTTCATTCTTTTCCTCTCTCTCTCTCTCTCTTTCTCTCTCTCTCTCTCTCCCTCTCTCGTCTCCTTTTCCATCGTTTTCGCGTTCTTTTCGGGTCGTCGCGCGACCGATCGTCCGCTGGAGCGGTACCGCGTGGAATTGGTCGGTGTGCCGTCTCTCTTTCGCTTCCGTTCGTCCTCGCATCGCGTCGCATCGTATCGAAATCGCGGCCTCGCGACGATAGCCGAGGCCGGACTCGGATAAAGCGCCGGCACTCGAGCCAGTTGAGCAAATAATCACAGAAACCGTGTCACCGATAACGCGCGTAATCCCGACACGAAACGTCGACTCCGTGAACTGTCGCCTAATGAAGCCGTATTAATCGCGCGGAGAAATCGAAGAAACCGCTCACGAGCTCGCACACTCTTCCCTCTTTCTCTCTACCTCACTCGCACGCACGCGCGCGCACACACACACACACACACACACACACACACACACTCTCTGTCTTTCTCTCTTCCGCTTTCGCTCCGTTTCTTCATCTTCGATTTTCGTGAGAGGAACCGCTGCCTGGAGAAGAAGCAACGCCTTAACGAGCCGAAAAGATTCGTCCGGTAGTATGAACGTATCATTAGGGGCAGCACGAGAACGGATCACGGAAACTAGCCGCATTTCGAACGTTAAACGCCTTCTAACGAGCAGCTCGCGCCGCGATCATCACCGCGATTTGTCGACCGCCGGTCCAGAATTTGTCGCTCGTATACGTGCTTCGACCTCCCCGTCTTCGAAACCAGCCGCCCCTAAATAGAGTCGTCGAAACGATAACGCCGCCTATTCGAGGTTACCCGTATTAGGATCCACCCAACGCTCGTAATACGTTCCGCGACCGCTTAACGAGCGACTTTATGATTTTTTAAACGTTGTTCGGCGATGTTCGGGGATTAGTAGAAACGCTGATTCGACGGTAGATCGGGGAACAAGGTAGAACAAGGACGAACCCGGTTGTCCACGGGATGAATTCCAAGCCCTGGGAAATATCGAGGGGTTGGTTCGACCCTTGGTCGCGACAAGTTGGACATTCCTGACACGAATTCTACGTCGTTACCGTGCTCTCGTCCGGCCTACCGCTGAATTTCCTCGTTTTACACGCCGCTTTGGAAATATACGTAACGTCGATTAGGCGAAAAGGGGCGAAAAAGGGCGAAAAAGGCGAAAAAGAAACGGAACGCGTGAAATAGTAACTTGGAACGAAGATCCAGTCCGAATCGCGTAATCGGGATAATAACGCCTGTGACGCGTAAACAGGCAAGAAAAGATAGGTAACGTTCGTCTGAACTTGACTGAGATTGGTCCAGCGAGACGGAGGCGTACGTTCGGACAAAAGCGAATAGCGTAGGAACGAGTGAATCGAAATTTATGAAATTTTATCTCGACCGATAGCGAAATACTGGCGAATTTTCCGACCGGTTCTCCAACACCGAGAAGACGACGGGCGTACGCCTACTTTTTCCCACGTATCGTGACGACGTCCTAATCCTAATATGTACAAGCAATCGAGAAAATGGAAGGAAAAAGTAACGGGTCCGCCACCGCGACGCCGAGAGTCGGCGAACCGAGGAAGAACGACGCGGAACGTGTCCATCGCGGAAAACGTAATGCCGATAAACGAGTCCCGTTTCTAATCGCAGAGCGAGAAATCCATTTCCATATGACTGAATCTGTATAACGGAGAAATATCGTTTCGACGGTGAGCGTGAGATTCGTTGGCAAGTTTGATCAATCGAATCGAGAACGGCAAACTACGCGACACTTTCGAGCGCAGAAACCTTGTTCGCGAGGCACGATCGGAAGCAACTTGGTAGCAACGAGATACCAAAGAGACGCAGGGAGGAAATACAGAGACAGAGGCAGAGAGAGAGAGAGAGAGAGAGAGAGAGAAAGAGAGAGAGTGAAAGAGAAAGAGGGGGGGGGGGGAAGAAAGAAGCAGAAACAGAAAGAAAAGGAGAAGAGAAGATGGGAAGGTGCGAAAAACTGAACGCGAGGTGGAAAAGAGAAGAGAGAGAAAAGAAAAGCGCTCGGTGCCCGGCGGCGACGAAAAACGCAAAATTCTCGCTCTGCGATTAGCCTCCGGGCAACAGACTGCTAATGATAACATTAATAGTAGCGATGTTAATAATAATTGTAATAATAAAGAATAATAATAAATGACAATAAAGACGACGAATAATATAATAGCAATAATAATAAAATCATCGTAATAATGAGAAATAATAATGACAGATCTATTGTCGTTTACAATAGTTTGCTTTTTTTCGCGAAACGATGCCTTGACGATAAACGTCACGATAATATAATATAGCTACAACCTCTCGACGTCGCCATAGATTTCTCTCTCATATATATAAATATATATATATATATATTTTTTTTTTTATACGTATGTATACTTACTCTTTATACAGAAGGGGTTTTTCATTGCGAGGGAGTACTGCTGTCGCTAGGATTCGGCACAAGTTTTCCGACACGCGTATTTTCCCCGTTTCACGCGTGTCCTGACCCTCTTTGCAATCTGTTCGTCTTTTCTCCGTTTACTTTGTCGCGCCGTATCGTTCCCTCTGATTTTTTGCTCCATTCACGATGCTTTATGTCCACAATCGAACCTGTTCCTCGTTCAACGATGACGACGGTGGCGACGGTGACGACGACGGCGACGGCGACGACGACGACGACGACGACAACGACGACGATGGCGGCGACGGCGGCGACAGCGACGGCGGCGACGACGACGACGACGACGACGACGACGACGTTGTTGATGAAGACCAGGAGAACGATGACGACGACAACGAAGAAGACGACGATGCGCGACTCTCACTTAACTTACTAGCTTTATCTAGTACATTATTTACAGTCCATATTTACTTATGTTACATCATCCGGCGGGTTTGCTTGGAACAAATCCCGCATGCTCTTCGCCTCTGGCTGCGTTTCTTTCATTTTCTTCGATATGGCCATCCGCCCGTCGGCCTCCGTTCGCGACAAGTCGCGAGGAATCACGCGCTCGTCGTTCGTCGATGCACAAAAGCGTTCCTCGCACTTTTTACATCTCTTCACCGTCGCGAAACGATCGCAACGAAAACAACAACGACGATCACGACGATAACGACGAGGACGGTGACGGCGACGCGCAGCGTCCCTTATCGTTCGATCGATCGAACGAACGAACGAACGAACGAGCGAACAGACGGACGGATGGAACCAACCGTACACGAGAATTACGCACTTTTGACACCGGGATATCGCGCGGTTAATAACGTCGAGAAAAACAAGACGATGATCGCGGTCGCGAGATTTCCTTCCCGATTAGATGCGAATGGAAAGGGAGAGAGAGTCAATTCTCGATCGACGAGTCTTCCTATGGTCGAGTCTCGCGACGGCGATGGCTGCGGCTGCGGCGGCGGCGGCTGCTGCTGCTGCTGCTTCCGCTGCTTCTGCGATGGCGAAGACGACGTTGGCGTATCCCTGAGATTCGTAGCCGATCGGCGATTTCGAGGGCGTTTGGGCGGGCGCGATTGATATCGCGCTATAAACAAGCCTCCCCGTTAGCCGGCTTCTGACTCGGCCTCGTTGTACCCCGTTGAACCTCGTCGAAAAGACGGTAGAAAGCCTGGCAGGAGTGGCACGATCACGACGGCAGCGACGCCGACGACGACGACGACGACGACGACGACGACGACGACGACGTCGACGACAACGACGACAACGACAATGTAGATGACGACGTAGACGTAGACAAAGACGACGACGACGACGACGACGACGACGACGGCGACGACGACGACGACGGCGGCGACGGTGACGACGACGCTACTAGCAAGGTCGAATTGGACTAGGAGCGAAAATGTAACACGGCTGTGGCGGCTGATGATCGTTGGCTGGCCACAGCTACTACGAAGTGGTCGAGTAGCTGCCGGTGCGTGCCTGTAGGTAATGATGATAGAACGGAGGGAGCGTCTCCGGCGGTGAGGAAGCCGGGTTGTTCGCCGAGTTTTGAGAGGTTATCGAAAGGCCCAACGGGGGAGGCCCGGGCGAACGCTAGTGAGCCGCCAACGAGTGGGCTGTAAGGCCCTGAGGACTGAGCATCGGTGGACTGTGGCTATGTCCCATCGGTGATCCGTGGATATGATCCTGCGGATGGTAACCCTGGTGAAGGCCTGGCTGGTTCTGGTGTCCCGGCGGCACGCCCTCCATGATTCCGTCGCCGAGAGTGTTCGGCGGTGTCATCCTCTTCTCCTTTTGCCGCCGGTTACAGAACCACACCCTGACCACCTCTTTCTCCAGCTGTAGACTATCCGCGAGCGTGGTGATCTCCTGCGCGGATGGTTTCGGCTGTTTGTGGAAGTGTTGCTCCAACGCGCCCTTCACCGACACCTCGATCGAGGTTCGCTTCTTTCGTTTTCTACCCTGGGCGGCGATCTTGTCGATGCTCGTCGGCGAGCCGGTCGTCGAGTCCGCCTCCTCGAGCCACTTCTGCAGCAGCGGCTTCAACTTGCACATGTTCTTGAAGCTCAGCTGGAGAGCCTCGAACCTGCATATCGTCGTCTGCGAGAAGACATTGCCGTAAAGAGTACCGAGCGCGAGACCGACGTCCGCCTGGGTAAAGCCCAACTTGATGCGCCGTTGCTTGAACTGTCTCGCAAACGCCTCGAGGTCGTCCGAGGTCGGGGTGTCTTCCTCGCCGGCGCTCTGATCCCTGTCGTGCCCGTGGACCGGGTGAATCGAGTGACCGACCGGCGAGCCGGGGTCCCTTAGGTTCGGGTGCAGGGCAGTCTGGTGATTGTGCAGCTGCGGATGATGTTGATGCGTGTGCGGGTGCAGCATGCCGTTCATCGCGGCATGGTACTGTTGAAGGGTGGTGGGCGAGGCCGCGCCACCGCTCGGGTTATAGTGGGTCGACGAGACGACGGGCGCGTGCCAAGAATGCGGCGAGGCCATTCCGGGCGACTGGTGAGGACCGCCGCGATGCGGATGCATCGACTGGTCGTTGGCGGCCGCTGCGGCCGCGGCCGCGGTTGCAGCCGCCGCCGTCAGCGGTTTCACGTCCAAACCTGCCGTGTTCGGCTGGTGCGGATGATGATGCTGATGATGACTATGCATGCTCATCGATGCCGCCCAATGATCGCTGCCCGGTTGCAGGCTGACCCAGGGGTTCGCCGAGGAGAGGCTCGGCGCCCCGTGCGACAGTCCATTTGGCGACGGCGACGACGACACCTGGTGATGATGATGATGGTGGTGATGATGCTGCGGCGCCGGCATATATTTCATCTCCCCGGCGTCGGCGGCGCTGCGAGGCGAGCCCGTGGAATAACCACCCACGGCGATGTTCATCCCGATCGCGGTACCCGTACCACCATCCAGCTCGGACGACACAGCGCTACTAATCGGCATGTACGTGGTAGCGGCCATCTACTTCCCCTCGTGCAGAGGTGTCGCGAAACCCTTCTGCTTTTTCGCTTATTCTCTTTCTATATCCTCTTCCTTCGATTTCCTCTCGATACCTTCCTCCGAGTTTTACCCCAAGTTCCTCCCTCGGGCTGCCCCGACAGGGCACCCTTGTGTCTCCTTCTCTATTTCGCCTTCTTTCTCTCCACTCTCTCTCTCTCTCCTCGGATCAGCTTCCACTTGTTCGCTCCGTTCTCGGGGTTCGTTTCTTCCTGGTCACCGACCGTTTCCCGCTGCTTCGTGCTCCTTCTCCTCTTCTTATTCCCTTTTCGGCGATCCCGTTATCCTATCCGCAGCCTATCTCTCGCTTCGATATCCTATCGTCGGCTGTAGATTCTCCCCAAAATACCAGATATACGGCTGGTCTATCCCCCTCGTTCACCTGCTCGCGTTCGCGCGAACCTCGTTCGATAATAATCCTGGTCGACGAACGCGCAAACAACGACACTGTCGATCCCTGCTCGACGGCAGGAACGTTTCCTCGTTCGGTCGACGATCACCGATCACACGTAGCTAACGCACAGTCCATCGTTCGCGACTACGCACCATGTCCCGAGTAAGTAGCATCGTCGAACGCGCGAACGATACGTCCATAGTTTGCCGCCAAGTATGCGAGCTTGTTACGATTTACACGCGGAAGTATCTCGTCCTCCGGGGAGAAACCCCGCGGAGACGTTGATTTCACCACCGCGTCCAAGACCGGCTCTACTCGAACGTCGTGCTGTTGCTGCTGCTGCTGCTGCTTCTGCTGCTGTTGCTGTTACTGTTGCTGTTGCTGGTTGCTGCTGCTGCTGCTGATGGAATCCGTTCAACTCCACACCGAGTAAAGGCACACCGGACTCGGTTCGTACCTCGTTCCGAGAGACGACGTATACTCCGTAAGACGAGACACGGAGGAATATCACTCGCGTTGTGGTCGATCACTCATCATCGCCGTGACGCGGTAACATCGCGATCGGTAGAAAGAGGACGAGAACGGCGACTATTCGCGAAGACGGCGCACGACTCGTCGACGACGGCGACGGCGACGGCACTCGCGACAGAAGAACGGCAGGACGATACTCGCGGAGAACACGATGGCCCGTTGATTCGCGAAGACGGGAGGACGAGTGTGTCGCGGACGAGCACGATCACGGGAGGAGAGTAAAAGCCGATGCACGGCGCGGTGTCTTGGGTGCGCGCGCGTGTGTTTTCCTCGTGCGATGTCTCTCGTGCGATTGTGTGTACACGCGAGAGCGAGAGAGAGAGAGTGTACGTGTGCGTGTGTGTATGTGTGTGTATGCGCGCGCGCGCGAGAGGAGAGACGACAACGGCTCGGAAAGATCTCGCTCGGGCTCTCTCATGCGTTATGCATGTCGTAGCTGAGAGCGACTGACTGCCTCGCCTCGCAGCTCGCTCGAGGTTCCCGAGGCTCCCGGAGCGCTCGGTGGAACCGAGTCATGCGCGCCACCGTCCTGCACATCCCCACCGAACCCTGCCGCTCGCTCTACCATTGGCCCCGATCGCAAGGTGGCCGTCGACGAACGTCACCGTCGGGCGGAACCTGGACCGACCGCGCCTCCGAGGCAGCCTACGCACCCCAGGCGCCACTGCTCTCACCCCGGCTCACCCCTCGTCCCTCCGACTACACCGAGCCTTCCAGCGACCAGCGCCGCCGAGCTCCAAGAGCCACCGCTCGACTACCTTCGCTAGCTGACGTTCGCACCGCAACCGCCGACGCCGCCGCTGCCACATCGCCGCCACACACCGCCAAACATCTACTTGGCTTGAAAATCCAGCCATCGGAGAGTCTCCTTTCCACCTTTCTCTTCTCTTCTTTCCGATCCGTTTCCGTTTTCTCTTCCGCGTCTCCGTTTCTTTCTTCTCTTCTCGGTTTCCGAACCTCGCGTGTATCGCTTCGCCCGTTGCCGCGCGAACGATTCGTCGAAATCGAAGCGAAACCGAGCACGCAACAGGTTCTAATTTCGCCCTAACCAACGATGCGACCTCGCGACGTCGTTTCGCTTCCGAGGTAACCTCGAAACGAGACGCGTAAGCCGTCGTTGCGAGACTTTCGGTCTCGGTCGAATCGCACACGCATCCACTCGTCTCGCGTTCGCGTAGCACGCGGTGCAACAGGTGCAGTGGACGAGCGTCGGCACCGATCGTACCGCGACCCTCTCCTCCGCGGACTTGTCCTCCGAGACGTAGCGAGAAGGTGGACACCGGTCTCTCGCGTCGAATCGACGAGTACTCCGAGGACTGAATAATCGTAACCGGAAACGGTTGGCGTACGACGTCGCGTACGCAACAGGTCCCCGGATACGGGAAGGGGGGTTGATTAATTAGAGGAAGAAAAGCGGCCCATCGTGGTCCCAACTCGAGGGGGTGGGGTATCGATAGAAACGAAGGGATAAAAAAGGCTGTTTCGCCTAGCGCGAGGCAACGACAACGACGACGACGACGACGACGACGACGACGACGACGTACGGCGAACGATCCGAGCGAACGAGCGAGCGAGCGAGCGAGCTAGAGGGCCAAAGAGAAGAAGGGAGGGGGAGCGAGGTTTAGTACATTTAAATGAGAGCCACAGGTAGCAGCATTATGCAGTACGTGCCAGCCACCCCTCGGGAGGGGTGAGTTAGATCATCGTGTGCCCGAGATCTCCCTGTGTCGTACCGTTTCAACTACCCAGCTGGCTTTGCGCCTTCGCACCTGTGGCCACCGTCTACGATGGCCCAACTATACCTTTCTCGAACTTTCCGTTTTTTTCCTCTCTTCCCTGGTTTCCTGCTTGGTCCGCGTGCATAAACGCGCGCAAGATCGATGAAACACACGGAACGGAACGGAACTGTGCGGGAGGCGTTCGCACAGACACCGTGCGCGCGGCTAAAAGTCGTGGCGAACGTGAGCACGCACGTCCCCGGGCTAACGGCGCGTCGTAATATCGACTGACATCGCGGAAGAGTGCGAGCGGAAAGCACCGGCACGGGGATGCCTGTCGTGATTCCCTCGCTAAGTATAGCCGAGCTTCTACCGAACCTAGGAATTTCGAGCGTACCACCGATGCCAATTATCCTCGGCTCTGTCATTTACGCGGCCCGTTATTATATGCCGCCGAGGCCTGTTTCGCTGGAATTACGAGCATTTTAATGCAGGCCCGCCATTATCGCTTCTTTGCCAACTTTATTACACGCGCGGAGCGTCGCCGATCGCGCTACCCTCCGTGTCGTCCACCGTTCCGCGATACTCCTGCTTCACCCCCATCGACCCGCGACCACACGACCCCCGCGCGTCGTGCCCTGTGCATCGATCGTTGGAAAGGCCAGCATCGCCACGCGGTTTCAACTCGATCCCCCGTGCACTCCACCCGTCCAGACAAATTGGATCGAACGCGGCCCCGAAATATTTGCTTAGGACCCGACAGGTAGTCGGTTTCGCGGCTGCGTGCCGCAAGGGGTGAAACCGTGCGAGGCCCGCGCGAAAACTCCGACGTCCTACCGGAGGAACAGAGACGCACGAAAGAAAGCGGCCGGTAACGACCGCTTCGGCTTCGTCCTACGTGAAAACGCTTTGCTACCTGAGCGTTTGCTTGCATAATTTAGCCGCTCTCTTCTGACCCGACAACCCTAGGGAGCACGGCTTCACTGAACCTTGTCCCGTGCTCGTCCACCTTCCTGGGGTGCGAAAACATTTGTGAAAAACACCGGGACACGGAACCGTCCGTGTTCCGTGGCGTTAAGCCGGCGGCACTGTCACGGAGATATCGCGCGACGATGCATTCGCTTCCGGTTACGGTAGTCGAAATTCCGCCCACTCGAGGAACCAAGGGACGTGGACAGGGTTTGGAGTTTCCTTGCTTGCTCGCGATCAAAAGGAAAGACTGTCCCTTGACCCGAAAACGTGCCCGAGAATTCCTCTGCAGCGAGGGCGAACGACGGTCACCGAATGAAAACTCGTTAACGCACCTATGGATACTCGAGCTTTGCCACGTGAAAAATGGCGCGTCCAGCAACGAGATTCCTGAAACGAAGCATTTAGAACGTGCGGTAGGTCGTAGCAGTCGTAAAAAAAGAGAGGAGAGAAAAAGGAGAAGGAAAAAACGGATGCCCACAAACCCCTGTACGTGAATGGAGGACGCTAACCAGTGTAATTTGGTCGCCTTTATGCTTCGAATGAATATTTTAATATTTTAATACGAAATACGTCGAGGGGTTTTATGACGCGCCGTAGCTTCTCCTCGCGAACACGAGAAGTCGTCGTCGTCGACGTCGCTGTCGTCTTCGTCCAAGTACGCTTTGGGGAACCAGGAACCAATTCGAAAGGGAAAAGGAATTAAAGAGGGAGAAAAATAGGATAGAACGCTCGAAGAGTAAAGAGGGAATGCGAGCAGGGATGAAACGCGAGCGGTAGGGGATAAGAGCGAACGCTGTTCGAAACGGAGAGAGAAAGAGAGCGAGAAAGACGGTAATAGGATTAGTGAAAAAATTGCTCGCTAGATGGCAGCAGCGCGTGGCCTTTTCGTTTCGAGGGGTTGGAAAAATCACCTTGGCAACCCCTTTGCGAGTATTTCCGAACGATGATCCGGGAAGAATCGGTGGTAACTGTGCTGCCATCGCGTGGAAGCGAGGTAAACTACTTTTTCCGCGGGAAAGAACCGATGGTAACAAAGTGATCGACCGTCGAGCGCACGAACAACGCTCGATCGAAAGATCGAGCGTGAGCGCGTTTCGACGTGGCGATCGAAAAAGACGTTCGTATATGGTCGAAAGACGTTCCCCGGGCTAACGGCGCGTCGTAATATCGACTGACATCGCGGAAGAGTGCGAGCGGAAAGCACCGGCACGGGGATGCCTGTCGTGATTCCCTCGCTAAGTATAGCCGAGCTTCTACCGAACCTAGGAATTTCGAGCGTACCACCGATGCCAATTATCCTCGGCTCTGTCATTTACGCGGCCCGTTATTATATGCCGCCGAGGCCTGTTTCGCTGGAATTACGAGCATTTTAATGCAGGCCCGCCATTATCGCTTCTTTGCCAACTTTATTACACGCGCGGAGCGTCGCCGATCGCGCTACCCTCCGTGTCGTCCACCGTTCCGCGATACTCCTGCTTCACCCCCATCGACCCGCGACCACACGACCCCCGCGCGTCGTGCCCTGTGCATCGATCGTTGGAAAGGCCAGCATCGCCACGCGGTTTCAACTCGATCCCCCGTGCACTCCACCCGTCCAGACAAATTGGATCGAACGCGGCCCCGAAATATTTGCTTAGGACCCGACAGGTAGTCGGTTTCGCGGCTGCGTGCCGCAAGGGGTGAAACCGTGCGAGGCCCGCGCGAAAACTCCGACGTCCTACCGGAGGAACAGAGACGCACGAAAGAAAGCGGCCGGTAACGACCGCTTCGGCTTCGTCCTACGTGAAAACGCTTTGCTACCTGAGCGTTTGCTTGCATAATTTAGCCGCTCTCTTCTGACCCGACAACCCTAGGGAGCACGGCTTCACTGAACCTTGTCCCGTGCTCGTCCACCTTCCTGGGGTGCGAAAACATTTGTGAAAAACACCGGGACACGGAACCGTCCGTGTTCCGTGGCGTTAAGCCGGCGGCACTGTCACGGAGATATCGCGCGACGATGCATTCGCTTCCGGTTACGGTAGTCGAAATTCCGCCCACTCGAGGAACCAAGGGACGTGGACAGGGTTTGGAGTTTCCTTGCTTGCTCGCGATCAAAAGGAAAGACTGTCCCTTGACCCGAAAACGTGCCCGAGAATTCCTCTGCAGCGAGGGCGAACGACGGTCACCGAATGAAAACTCGTTAACGCACCTATGGATACTCGAGCTTTGCCACGTGAAAAATGGCGCGTCCAGCAACGAGATTCCTGAAACGAAGCATTTAGAACGTGCGGTAGGTCGTAGCAGTCGTAAAAAAAGAGAGGAGAGAAAAAGGAGAAGGAAAAAACGGATGCCCACAAACCCCTGTACGTGAATGGAGGACGCTAACCAGTGTAATTTGGTCGCCTTTATGCTTCGAATGAATATTTTAATATTTTAATACGAAATACGTCGAGGGGTTTTATGACGCGCCGTAGCTTCTCCTCGCGAACACGAGAAGTCGTCGTCGTCGACGTCGCTGTCGTCTTCGTCCAAGTACGCTTTGGGGAACCAGGAACCAATTCGAAAGGGAAAAGGAATTAAAGAGGGAGAAAAATAGGATAGAACGCTCGAAGAGTAAAGAGGGAATGCGAGCAGGGATGAAACGCGAGCGGTAGGGGATAAGAGCGAACGCTGTTCGAAACGGAGAGAGAAAGAGAGCGAGAAAGACGGTAATAGGATTAGTGAAAAAATTGCTCGCTAGATGGCAGCAGCGCGTGGCCTTTTCGTTTCGAGGGGTTGGAAAAATCACCTTGGCAACCCCTTTGCGAGTATTTCCGAACGATGATCCGGGAAGAATCGGTGGTAACTGTGCTGCCATCGCGTGGAAGCG